AAACACTACTACTACTAAACTACACTACAGTGATCCAGTGTCAATACAACTGTCTTCAAACTTTGTCTTTTTCTGAATCTATGGAGTATCTCATGGAATGCCATCCTACCCAATACTGCCAAAACGTCAATATTCAATTTACAATACCTCATGGCTGACTTTGGGAACTTACCTGTCAACTTCCAGGTAGCAAATTTGTACATGCATACTGTGACGATGGACAGACTACTATCAATCGTTACAAGAATTCTACATGTAGAAGCACTGTATGAATGTATTATATTGTATATTGATGACAGACACATCATATGCTTTTGTATCCTCCTAAAAACAGGTAGGAACGATCACAACCAACGTGAGATTAATAAATCATGTTAAGGACTTGTAATGAAGATACCCACAGACTACATTACCTAGTATTCTGTCACTGGTTAAGCTTATGCAACATATTGTATTTTCATACCTTCTGTTTCAATTCAATCTCTGTCTGTGTTTTCCATTTCCTGATTTTATCAGCTTCTTGATGCAGTTTAGCATGTAATGAAGATAGTCTTTCAGTGCCAGTTGTCTGATCTTGTTGTTGAGCTGTTCTTGAAGCTTGTTGTGACATGGTATGCATTTCTATAAAATATCAATACATTTACTACAACTTTTTTTACTATGCATGGTCTAAGCCTACCTTGAAAACTAACATCCTTCATGTACATCAAAGCCACCATCGCATAGTTCAAGATATACCTTCGAAATTTTTCAAGAGGGGCTGGAAAGAGCATTTAGTCGTTCTGATGGGACAATAAACTAAGGCCATGTGTGTTATAGGATATATGCATCGGGGCTGTCCTGGCAAACTTTCCCTTACTGTACACAGCATGCATGGTCTTCATCAGACCAATCAGGCACCCGTACGTAAAAACTTCATTTCAGACGTTAAGTGTGCAAGAACTAAAATACAAAGGTTACCATTTGGTCTAGCTATTTGAAAAGGACTGCCACTGGTTTGATTCACATTATTCACTCTTGATCTTGACTGCTGCATGAGAAAAGATAAACTTTTATGGACATCAATTCAGGAATTTCTTTGTAGAAAACTTTGAAAATGCTTTAAATTTACTCTGAGAAAAGCAAGAAAGATCATAAGTTTATAATAATGATCTTATCCATCCATGAAATCATCAAAACACTCGTTTATAGTTGTATTGTAACCAGATACTAGCATCTAGTTACTTTATGGATCTTATGAAACCTACTTGCAATGAAGACAGATTAGAAGTTTCTGCTGAATTCAGAGGCTTAAAAACTGGCTGTTGATACTGCCTCATTTGAGACTGCATTACTGCAATCTTATTTTTTCACTACAAAAAAAAAAAACAGAAAAATTTATTATCTACAATAACTAAAACATTAAGCTTTCAGCATAGTCTATATAGATTTAAAAATCTAGACAGTGGCATTGCCAGCCTCCCAAGACTGGGTGTACAAAAAGTAGATAGACTGACTAAATTAGGACCTCTGAGAGGATTACCAAAGAAAATTTTCAAACTATTGCATTCTGTCACATATTATTGGGGAAAACATGTAACACTTTTTTCAAAAGTTTGTCTTTCTAATTCATTTGAATTTGAACATTGTAGGAGTTAGGCCTAAACTAGAAGGGCTAAGCCTAAGCCATCGGAACTAAAGTCGTCATAATATTTTAGTAGGGCTATCATTTTTGTATGACTTGAAATATCAATCTCCAAATATTGCTGTGAGTCTTATATTGTCTTTAGGTTGATGAAAATGCCAACCATTGAAAACAAAATTATTTGAAACTATGATTTTACAGAGGCAGATTTTCAGTTCAAAATGTGTCATTTTCACATGAAATTTCTTGGAGAGAGCATTTGAAGTGCAAAATTTTTAAAACTTATATATTCATGGACCCAAAGGCATTCTAAGACAATTGGTATGCACTTGAAAATCATATTTTGAATATTTGTGAAAAATTGTGACATGAGAGAAAAAATTCAATTTAGAAACTCAATGTGGCCAGAGTCGTAGCCTACGACAAACAAACACAGATCTTTACAGGTTGAACAGCAAGAAACTAAATATACGACGTAGGTCAGAGCTAGGCCTACTGGAGACTCGGCTCGTAGGGAGAGGTCTATTTTAATCCTAGTATGAAATAACATACGATTTCAAAGATTCCACTTCGACAAATATTGCCATGCGACAGTGAATCAATTCAAAATATGTCAATAAATCAACCTCTTATCGCAATGTATGCTATTAACTCAGGTACAAATAACAACGATGCAACGTTTGTCGTCTGCTAGATTGAAATCGAGAGTGAGGTCAAGGTGAAGGTCAGTAGGACTTAGTCTTGATTTTCACGACGGTCAGATGCAGATCATAACATAGAATATCTATGGTGCAGATATTTTCGTCGGAATTTGACTCTTTTTGCAATGTTAAGGGAAAAGGAAGTGGAATTATTGAGAACTTATTGTATCTTTTAGGAGTAAAACAATAGTTTGTGCTTATTTACTTTACTAGAGTCTACTAAGGTAAATATTGGAAAGACAACTCTTGTTTACACTGGCATCCCAGTTCGTTTCACAGCGGTAATAATATTATTGCCACTATGGTTCGTTTTAGCTGGATCCACCCAGAGAGTATAGATATTGTATGCTACCGTATGTAGTCCGTGCTATTTTTAGAAATCCTCCTTCTCCCATCCTTTTGGGGGTTTTCATATATTGAATTTTTGTCCAGAAACTAAGCATTGACCAGGCTTTCATGTGACCCGTGGGTTCGTTTTGCCGCATTGCCCAACTTGACGCATCGTGCCCAACTGCACAAGAACGACTTGTAAAACGAAACTAAAGGGTTCTGATAAAATCCGGAATGGCCATTTGTTTCACATGAAACGAAATATTTTAATATGGTGTCCCGCATCGATTTTTATACGCCCACATCTATGTGGACGTATATTGTCGGCACCCCCGTCCGTCCGTCCGTCCGTCAACGTTTGCTTGTAAACGCTCTAAAAACTACATTTTTTGATGGAATCAAATGAAATTCGGTTTGTGTATACATATTCATAAAACGAAGATTATGTTTGAATTTTAGCTATTTTCGACCGTTAGAAATAGAGTTATTGCCCTTGCCCCAAAATCTTGAATATTTACCATCCGCATGCCGTGGTGGGCGTATATGGCTGTGGTCCACTATCTAATTTTTCTTTTTTCTACAAAATCGCAGGTTCGTCGATTTTTGGAGTTAGTAGTGTGGAGCCAATCAACCCCAGCTTCTGCCAGGACATTCTGGGGGTTGAGCCACTGCCTAATTATAGAGCACATCGAATACGAGAATTTTAAACTTCTCCTCGCTTGATAATTCTGATTTACTCTTCAGAAGATTTTCACTTTCAGACATTTCAGTTGCCATTTTTTCTAGCACGAGGGTGACGTTATTGGCACGCAGTAGAGGGACATTACTCTTACAAGTTATTACCAAATTTATTTATTGCACTTGTCGTTTCGTTTTACTGATTTATGTATTTTGTATTACGGTTCTGATCGTTTGTACTTGGTATTTATCTTATTCCAGATTTTACCACAAAACTATAGTTTCGATTTCCCTAACAGGTCCAAATTATACATAATAACAGATTAAAATATTTCGTTTCATGTAAAAAATGGCCATTCCGGATTTTATCAGAAACCTTTAGTTTCGTTTTACATGTCGTTTTTGTGCAGTTGGGCACGATGTGGCAAGTTGGGCAATGCGGCAAAACGAACTCACCGTCATGTGACATATTGCAAAGTTTTCAACGAGATTTCTGGAAAAAATTATAGAAGTACAGTCAAGTAACCTAATTTCGTGGAAACCTATTATTCGTGGATTTCCGGAAAGGATTAATGATTTACATGAGCGACCTTGCGCGACCTCCGCATTAGTTTGGTTTGATAAACATGGGTTTTCTGTACAATATCAGCTAGTAGAATGAATTCAGTAGTTTCAAGCAAGGTAAAATGTATTAATGTATACATACTTTGACAAATACAAAATGGCGGATTTCACTTATTACCAAACGTCATCATTTTTTATCGGCCGAATTTCCTTATAATCCCAAGCGGTAATCGGAATTCCAAGTGTCGTCTGCTAGAATGTAATCCAACGAATGAAGTCACGTGATCAACTAGCGGATTCTGTGTCAGCAGAAAATTTCTATGGAACACAAAGTGGACCATATTCTTATGTTGTTTCAGTGACTTTTAGCAATAAATCACGCTACATATCATATTTTGTCAGTCACTATTTTTTTTTTAAATCGTGGTTCTTTCAAGGAATTGTCACTAGTTATAATGAATTGATATTAAAGATAAATACTAAGAGAAGTTAATTATACCACCCGGTATCCATACAACGTGTTTTTCTAGACTTATTTGTAGATCAAACATTGTACACGAAAATAGGTGACGCATTCTGCCGCCGTTACCGAGTTGGTTGCTCATGAAATATGGGTCAAAGTGAAGGATTATAAAGAAAATCGAAACAAACCAATTTTTATCATTTTGTAGAATATCTGAGGAAACATCTAAGACATAAAAATTTTTTTTCGTTTATTTAACTTTGACGAAATTCGGTGTCGAATCCTTATATCAACGAAAATAGGTTACACCACTGTATTAGAAGGTTGAGATTTAACATTAACAGATGGCAAATGAATTACCAGAGTGTGTGGAGCTATTTGATTCTCATGACTAGAATAAGTAATGTAAATAAAGCGAACTCGCACGATTTGTGTTGCCAGAATTGTTCACGTTTTTGTCAGTAATCCGAATCCTTCTTTTCCAATACAAATTACAGGCATTATAAGGCTTCAAATTGACTTACAAATTTGACTATAGAGCGGCATATTGTTATGGTTTAATTAAACTCTTAAATCATTTCTTAATTTATCTTCACTGTTTATTTTTTTAGATTATTTTGTACACGAATAGCTGATCATCATGAAATTCTTGAAAAGTTGTCGGTCTTTAATAAAGAAACTAGAAAGAAATACGCACAAGCAGAACGCGTTTATAATTTCATCCGTCAGATATTTCAACACAGATTCCACAGAAAAGAAATACATTCCCAGGAGAAGTTTAATGTATATTCCTGGTCATGATATAAAGAAACTACAGAAAGTACCAAAGCTGAATACTGATTGTGCCGTTCTGGAGTGTGAAGATGGTGTAGCTTTAAATATGAAGGTAACATTATAGCTTAAATATTTTGTCATCGAACAGGGGATGTATCGAGCAGCTTAGTGTTTAGAAGGTTAGCCCTATTCCCTATTCTTGACATTGATTCATTAAGTGTGATCAAGTCATCAAATCTTCCCGTTAGCTTATCCAGCAGATATACCCACTGACCAAAAAGTCATTTTCTTTTATTTTTTCTTAAATTTTACCAATTATTATTATCCGTGATACATGTCAGGCCATAGGCCTACCAACAAATTTTGAAAATTGATATGGCGAGTAAGCAGGTCTATAAAATCGCTATAAAATTAATGGCCTGTGCAAACATATGTATCGTGACCAAGAGGTTTACCCATAGTACCAGAACATGATATCACCATCAACAAATTGGTATCAATGTGTATACAGATATCCTTATCCTTTCGAGCAAATCTTGTGGTGGTGGTTGTGGTAGTGATAGATGACAAATTAACGTCCGCTTCCAGCAACGAAAAGTCAAAGATAGACAAATATAAATAAGAAGGCTTCCCTCCAGGGGAATGGAAAACAGCTCATATGGTACAGATTTTCAAGAAAGGAAAGAAGACTTACGCAAGCAGCTACATACCAATCAGCCTGACAAGCATAATATTATGCAATGCAATTTGAAAGACGCCATTATGCTGCACATTGAATCAAATGTAAGAGGTATTTCACACAAAAAATACTTGGCCTACAAACATGGGAAAACTGCGTCCTGGTCTACATATTTTTGAATGGAATTGAAACTCCAAATATAGATTCATGAAGACAAGATGTCAGACACTTGAAAACCGAAACGTAGCCGCGTCTCTCCTGAAACTTTGAACCAATTTAAATCTAACATGAACATAGCTTGGAAGTTGACAACGTAAAATTCAACCCCTCCACGATACAGTAAATGAAATCAAACCAATACAACCCGAGTTATACCCCTTTTTCTCTATTTTTCACAATGCGCACGTACAAAAAAATACCGCGGTGATCTAGAAGCCCTTAATGCTTAATGCAGATCAAAGATCATGTAAATCAGGTAAACTAATAGTGAGGTAGTTAGTGTTAATTGGTAATAGGACCAGATTCAATCGGATGGTTTGGTAATGTTGTTTTTGGAATTCTTCAGATCTGGTCTATTCATATTGAAGCTCCGTAAGTCAAATGACATTGACAATGTTTGATGGTAGTCGAATTGTAGTGCAGTCCAAATAAAATTAGAACTTGCATTATAAGATTTGATTTTTTAATATAGACATTTCTAGACCAAAATTTCGTTTCGTTTTTTGTAGCCTCATTAAAAAATAAAAGCTTATAAAAAAAAACCGGAACGATGATGGTTTTGTACTTTCAGGCCCAGGCCAGAGAAAACGTATGTAAAGTGTTAGATACAATGGAGTTTGGTATTACAGATATAGCTGTAAGAATAAATTCTGTCTCGAGTGGTCTTTATCAGGATGATCTAAATGTTATTCTTTCTGCTACAAACCTCCCACAAACTATCCTTTTACCTAAAGTTGACTATGTTGAAGAACTGCAAATGGTAAGGTTAACTTGAATTAGAATTTGTAAGGAAATAAACATACTTATCATAGGCTACATATCCATGCCTACACAACACTTACACTCCTTGAATAATGGTTTGTTAACAGATTTTGGTGATTGGAAGTAACAAGTTACTTTTCAAAGATAGTCACAGGGTACAATGGTAGCGGTATCATATCATATAAATGACCCCTTATTCGATATTTCTTATGATTCCCCACAATTGAAAATTGACGATCTGTGAATCAAATCAAATTGTATAAATGTGCAAGCAAGATCGATCTGAAAACTATACGACTTGTTGCCGATTTTTTATGAAATGTGATTAAAATGTAGACTAACCATATCAGCAAACAACAAAATATTGTATTAGATTGGTGGTTAAAAGAAGACATACTTACCCATCTTAGCAACATCATTCTATATTCTATACACCTGGTCGACTCTCAAAAGCACCGGCACAGGCATCAGAATTTTTCTTACCTTGAGGGGGGGGGGGGGGAGGACACGTAATCGCCTAGCAGACTATTATTGGTATTAGGGGTGAAAACAACACAGAGCCGACTCTCTAAAGCACATGCACATGAATGTTTCTAACTTTGAGGAGGATTCGAGTCTGCGGCACCTAGCAGAGCAATTTAAGTGTATTTTGTATACTTTTACAAGTATCAAAAGAAACAATTCTTGTCACATTTACATTTCAGTTTACAAATCAATTTCAAGCCGTGCTAAAAGATAAGAATATTAAAAACTATCAACCTTATTTGATAACGTATGTTGAGAGTGCAATTGGTATAATGAATCTAAGAGACACCTTGAACGCAGCTACACAACACACCAAGGAAGGGATTTACCACATTGATGGCGTTGTGTTTGGTTCAGATGACTTTTGTGCAGATATAGGTTTTTTTTTCATTTTGCTGCTTTGATTCTGATATGTTACGGTGCATACTGTACTTCTGTTATAGAAATCTAGTTTAATATCACAAATATAATAAACACTTTCATCTCCGTATAATAAGAGAAGTGACTGACCAATCGCGGTCGTATCTGGTAACATGTACTTTTATAATTTAGATGTTTACTTCTATAGTGGTATCATTCAAAAAATATTGCAGTAGCAATAAAATATTTGTATTGATTTAACCAACTGATGTGGTTAATATCCATTACGAATCGCAAGGTCAATTGGCCTGTTTGAAAATATAAACTATAGAATATAATAACATCGAAAATTTTTTTCTTATCAAAGAACCTTACCGTCAGTTACAATCAAACAAATAATATGAAGTGAAGTAAGGACTAAAGGACTACATGATCCCCCTCCAAAGGTTATAATATGACCTCTCTTATGTTATATAGGTGCAACTAGAAGTTCTGAAGGATCTGAAATCATGTTCGCAAGGCAACAGGTAGTAATGACAGCCAAAGCTTACAAATTACAAGCTATTGATATGGTATCTATAGATCTTAAAGGTTTGTAATTATTTTATTGGTATTATCAACATGAAATGCTACCATTGGTGACGAAATATATAGCTAAATTGCAAGGTAAATAATCGTCCAGATCAAATTAATTTGCTGCACATTTACAAACTGCCATGTTATGATTTTAGATATGGAATCATTAAAGAGACAGTCGTTAGAAGGAGCTCGAATGGGGTATACTGGAAAACAGATTATACATCCCAATCAAGTGCCAGTGGTAAATGAAGCTTTCACGCCAAGTACAGATAAAATAGAATGGGCAACAGAACTAATACAGGCTTTTGAACATCATCAAGAAACGGGAAAGGTATTATTACATACATTGTTGGCTCAACTCTCTTTTCATGTCAGTCCCTCTGACTTGCATAAGAAAACGTCGTCATATCGATCAAGCTGAGCCACCGGGGGCCTCTATTACTAGAAAGGCGCTTAGATTTGGACTTATCTGGAAAAAGAAGTCAACTGTGTTGTAACTAAATATGCAAAAGTGCGTTAATAATATCGTTGTTAAGCAAAATATTTGACTAGAATTCTGCTAGTTACCCCACTGTATTGAATTTAGATCGCCATAACATAAAGCTTGTTTCCGTTCAAATGATAAATAATAAAACAACCAATAATTATTCATGAAATATTGTTATTTGAGTACAATAATCTTTTAGATATGAAAACTATTTCGTCTTGATTGCAAATTACTATCCTATTCTAACCAATCAAAATCAATCTTTAGACAGAGTTCTTTGCTCTTGCCAATTTACCTGGAAATATGTCAGCCTTCCATGGCAAAGTCAATGTTCAACGAACATTGGCGAAGGCTGAATTTAATGATATTTGTCCTTTATTATTAACAATTTGAGACTTGAGAGCAGGATGATTTTGATAATTTGATGTATTTAGGTTATTGCTATTGATTTAAAATTCAGTATGATATAATTATATAAAGTCTTTGAATGGCATTTAGCAATTGTGAGTACGATATATAGACACAGCTTTATGGAACAACAATCACTGGTTAAAGTTTTATGCAACGTTTCGACGTGTTTCCCCCGTCGTCCTCAGGCACATAATGAGAAGAAGTGATGGGCAAACTATATATACATTAATGCTTATTATTAAGAACACACAAGAGATAAATGGTTTATTGATACATTACATTAAATTTTAACAGGTACAATAAGAGGTATATAATTCTTAAAATAACATACAGGCTGATTAAGTAAAATAATTGAAGTAAAGTAAATGAATTAAAAAAGATTAATTGAAGATTAAATAAACAACTATTGCTAGTATTGGAGTCTTTTATTAATAGAAATTACATTGTTCATATAACTAACTATGCTTAAAGTTGGAAATTGTTTTTGAATATGAATAATTACAAGTTGATAAGTTTATCATATGCATGCGATAAACGAACACCTTCATCTCTGTTAAGGTCAGGCTGATATCTTCTGATGTGGATAGCTTCATGAAGTCTTCTGGTTTTATCTATGTGCTTATTGAT